GTAAAATTTGGAATGAGAGGGTAAAGGAAGTTTTGAGTACCAGGGGCTTGGACATCCAACAGGCTTGTGCAAGCACGTTGGATAGTAGTGAGTGGAGACGAGTGATTTTTAGGATTTAATGTTCTGTTGGAGTATGAGCAAGGTAACATTTATGAAGGAATTCAGGGAAGCTGGTTAGCTGGACTGGAGTCCTGGAGGTAGAAAGGACAGTACCTGCACTCTGAAGGGATGGGAATGTTGCAGTTTGGAGGGACATCTGAACTGTACTGTTAGTGCATTTTAGGCAAGATAGTGGTTGAAAGAGTGAGAGTGAAAGTGTTTTCCTTTTTGTCAGGTCACCTTACCTTTGTGGGAGACATCCGGCATGCAGATAAATACTATTACAGTAGGGCCCCACTTATACGGCAGGTTAGGTTCCAGGCTGTCACCGGAAAGGAGAACACCATTATTTTTTCACTTGTAAATGCATATAAATGTCAGATAACAAGTTTACACTAATGTATATTAAGTTAGCAATAGAACTAGGCATTTAAAAACAATAAAATAAAATATACACACAGTACTCTCATTACTTAAAATATTTGTAGACTTAATGTAGGGTGAGACAAGAGTAATGATGACATTACACATCCATGTCTAAGACCTACTTTTACTGGGAAGTAATCTCCCTCTCTCCTGCACACCGTAACCTGAGCCTCGCTATCCTCATAAAAACTCTATACATCATTTAGTAACTTACTACCTATTCTATACACTTGCAACATCTGCCATATTGCTCCCCTATCCACTCTATCATATGCCTTTTCTAAATCCACAAATGCAATGAAAACTTTCTTAACTTTACAGGTCGAGCATCACTAATCCGGCATAATTGAGAGCTGTAGTGTGCCAAATTAGTGAGTTTGCCAGATTACAGGGTGTTTAGGTTAGAATTCACTTAACCCTTTCAGGGTCGACAGGCCCTCTCCCAGACTTGTTCTCAGGGTTGCCAAATTTTAAAAAAAAATAACAAAAAAAATTCATTACCTGGAGTTTACCTGGAGAGAGTTCCGGGGGTCAACGCCCCCGTGGCCCGGTCATATGAAAAGATAGAGAATCTTTTCCCAATCATAATGACACCAAAAGTATGAAATTTGATGGAAAACTTATAGAATTATGCTCTCGCAAAGTTAGCAGTCTCGACGATGTTTACGCATCGGCGACACTTTGAGCCTTATTTTCGGCCAATTCCAGTGTACTAGTCGACAAAAATCATAACTGTTTCACTAGAACTCCATTTTTCTATCGAATGAGTACAAGAAACCACCCATTTGCCGATTTCAACTATCCAATAAAGTGGTCAGAATTTAGCAATTTTGCCAATTTTACACAAATTTCAAAAGATGCCAATTTCCAAATAGGGTCCAGAATAAACAAGACAGACATTCCTGGCACTAAAATAACATTTCCTCTGTTCATTAGTCACATCCCCAGGCCCCTCTTACATTTCTTTTGCTTTCCACTTTGAATTTTTATTCTCACAAAAAATAGAAGATTTACTGTTATGCAGACTACTGTATTAGTGTAGAAATGGTATAAATAATATCAGCGCATTTGTGAAAGAATATTAGATTCACCAGTTGACGTGTATTGGACGCGTGGCATGATTTGTTTACTTTTGAACTTTGGCAAAAATTGAACATTTCTGCTACTTTGAGCTCAATTTCAAGGTACTTTTCATTGTGAAACCAATCAAAATCATCTCAATTTCTGTAATATGTCTTCCATGCTATAAAATAAGACCAGGAAAACTAGAATACAACCATAAATACCATACAAAAATACAGTGCAAAGTCACTGTTTTAAACCAAAAAACAGTCAAAGTTTTTTTTTTTCTCATTACGCACTCTGTGCTGCAGGATTTTTTTTACTGCTCACACTGACCACATAGACCCATTCTTTCATATGTAGCCCTACCAGCTTTCTCTTGCTAGATTTGAGGGCGCTAGAATTTATGCGTACTAGTACGTCAAAAACCCTGGCGCGTAAGCTGTACTAGTACGTCGGAAACCCTGAAAGGGTTAATTAACCTGTCAGCAGAGACTCTGCTTCATCAAAAAGAGTTGTAAATCCACAGCTTGTTGCTGTGGATTTACAATCATCTGCACAATATCTGAGTCAGTATAATGATTTGAGTCAGTATAATGATGAAATTTGAAATTATGCTAGCCAAAATTAGTGCCGGATTACTGATGGAACCGGATAGCTGATTGCCGGATTAGTGATGACCAACCTGTAACTAAATACTGTTGACATATATGCTTCAATATAAACACTTGATCCACACATCCTCTACCCATTCTAAAGCCTCCTTGGTCATCTGCAATTCTGCTGTCTGTCTTACTTCTAATCCTTTCAATAATATCATGCCCATGAATTTTACATAGTATACTCAGTAAACTTATTCCCTATAATTTTTACAGTCTCTTTTGTACCCTTTCCTTTTATGTAAAAGAACTATACATGCTTTCTGCTAATCCCAAGGTACCTTCCCCTCTTTCATGCATTTATTAAACAAAAATAATATCTACTCCAACAGTATATCCCCTCCTGCTTTTATCATTTCTGCCATGATCCCTCAGTTTCAACTGCTTTACCCTCTTTCATTCTACGTAATGCCTCATGCACCTCCTCCACACTCACATCCTGCTCCTCTTAACTCCTAAAAGATGTTATACCTCCCTGGCCAGTACGTGAAATTACTGCCTCCCTTTCTTCATCGACATTTAAAAGTTCCTAAAAATATTCCCGCTATCTACCCAGTACCTCCAGCTTCCTATCCACTAACTCCCCTACTCTGTTTTTAACTGACAAATGCAATCATTCCCTAGGCTTTCTTAACTTGCTTATCCACTCTAAAATTTGTTCTTTTTCTCAGCAAAATTTGTTGACAGTGCCTCTCCCACTCTATCATTTACTCTATCATTGTGCTCTCCCACCACTCTCTTCACCTTTCTTTTACTTTCCATATACTCTGCCCTTCTTATACCACTTGTGCTTTGTAAAAACCTCTCATAAGCTACATTTATTTCTTGTATTGCACCCTTTACTTCATCATTCCACCAATCACCCCTCTTTCCTCCTGCACCCACCCTCCTATAGCCACAAACTTCTGCCCCCCCATTCTGACACTGCATTTTTTAAAACTATCCCATCCCTCTTGAACTCCCACACTACCCATACTTGCACTAGCCCACCTCTTAGCCAATAGTTGCTTATATCTCACCCTAACTACCTCCTCCCTGAGTTTATAAACTTTTACCTCCTTCTTACTTGCTGTTGCCCTCTTCTTTTTGTCCCATCTACCTCTTACCCTAACTGTAGCTACAACTAAATAATGATCTGATATATCCATTGCCCCTCTATAAACATGCACATCCTGAGGCTTACCCTAACAAGCTGCTTTCATTACATGTTATATCATACCTTGTATACTTATTTATCCTTTTTTTCATAAATTATGTGTTGCTTACTACCAAACCTCTAAAATATACTTATGAAAATGTTTAGCCTGAGGCACCGGGAAGCCTGAGGCACCGGGAAGCCTGAGGCACCAGGAAGCCTGAGGCACTGGGAAGCTTGAGGCACCAGGTAGCCTGAGGTACTGGGAAGCCTGAGGCACCAGGTAGCCTGAGGTACTGGGAAGCCTAAGGCACCAGGAAGCCTGAGGTACTGGGAAGCCTAAGGCACTGGGTAGCCTGAGGCACCAGGAAGCCTGAGGCACCAGGTAGCCTGAGGTACTGGGAAGCCTAAGGCACTGGGTAGCCTGAGGTACTGGGTAGCCTGAGGCACCAGGAAGCCTGAGGCACCAGGTAGCCTGAGGTACTGGGAAGCCTGAGGCACCAGGTAGCCTGAGGTACTGGGAAGCCTAAGGCACTGGGTAGCCTGAGGTACTGGGTAGCCTGAGGCACCAGGAAGCCTAAGGCACCAGGAAGCCTGAGGTACTGGGAAGCCTAAGGCACTGGGTAGCCTGAGGTACTGGGTAGCCTGAGGCACCAGGAAGCCTGAGGCACCAGGTAGCCTGAGGTACTGGGAAGCCTAAGGCACTGGGTAGCCTGAGGTACTGGGTAGCCTGAGGCACCAGGAAGCCTGAGGCACCAGGTAGCCTGAGGTACTGGGAAGCCTGAGGTACTGGGTAGCCTGAGGTACTGGGTAGCCTGAGGTACTGGGTAGCCTAAGGTACTGGGAAGCCTAGTTCAAACCTTCAGTGATGCTTACAACTATTTTGCTTATTTATTCTTAGCCCAATAACTATCTTGGATAATCAAGATGTATGTAACTGTACAAAAAAAATTTGATGTATGTATTTTAAAATTTTAGTCAGTTACATTAATGATCAGCTAGAAATCTTATTACAAATTTATAAAGAAATATTTAGATTTTTGTTAGGACTGTTAATATTTGTATCATATTACACTAATAATAAATCTTCATTAATTTATTTATTATATATTAGTGGGAAGTGAAACAGAATTCTTCCTCTGTAAGCCATGTGTGTCATAAGAGGCGACTAAGATGCTGGCAGCAAGGGGCTAGTAACCTCTTCTCCTGTATAAATTACTAAATTTAAAAAGAGAAACTTCTGTTTTTCTTTTTAGGTCACCTTGCCTTGGTGGGATATGGCCAGTTTGTTTAAAGAAAAGAAGAAATTTATTTATTGAAGTTTATAGAGGTGTTATTATTTTATGTATAAAATATTTGTGAAATATATTTAAAAGTTCAGTTGCTTCTGTAGTTATTATAATAAATTGTTAAATTCATTAATTAATTAAAAAATTCTTAAATTTGTTTCTAATTTCATTTATTCAAAATATTTCCATTTTGTGAACCTATATAATATAATGCTTTATAATAAAATGAATATTTTAAGTGTGAAAATTGTGTTCGCATACAGGCACAATTTTGACCATTTTTAAATATCATGGAGTTCACTATTTTTTAATAATGTTATTTATGAATAGGTTAAAAGTTACAACTTGGGACCCTGCAAGAAGATTTGTGCTGCGGTTAATTTTGACCATTGTAGCAGTCACAGTTATATATATCATGGCTCAAGTTAACTCGGTAAGCCTTGTACTGTAGTTTTCAACTATGTGTGTGTGTGTATGGGAGGAGGGGTCATGTTCATAGCTTCTGGCCGTGCCCCTTTGTATGTGTGGGGGGGTAAGGGGTTTGTGTTCATAGCTTCTGGCCCTGCCTCTTTGTGTGTGAGTGTGTGTGTGTGTGTGTGTGTGTGTGTGTGTGTGTGTGTGTGTGTGTGTGTGTGTGTGTGTGTGCGTGTGTCTGTGTGTGCGTGTGTCTGTGTCTGTGTTTGTGTGTCTGTGTGGGGTGGCAGGAGCTATTTGTTTGTGTTTGCTGGTACCTCCTGGCCCCACCTCTTCGTATGTGTGTGTGTTCTCACCTAATTGTGGTTGCAGGGGTTGAGTCATAACTCCTGGCCTAACCTTTTCACTGGTTGCCACTAGGTCCACTCTCTCCCTGCTCCATGAGCTTTATCATACCTCTTCTTAAAGCTATGTATGGTACCTGCCTGCACTACCTGGAGTTTACCTGGAGGGTATTCTGGGGATCAACACCCCTGTGGCCCGGTCCACAACCAGGCCTCCCGGTGGATCAGGGCCTGATCAACCAGGCTGTTACTGCTGGCCGCACGTAGTCCAACATACGAATGACAGCCCGGCTGATCCGGCACCAATTTAAAGTATCTGTCCAGCTCCCTCTTGAAGGCAGCCAGTGGTAATTCCCCTTATGCTTGGTGGGAGGCTGTTGAACAGTCTTAGTCCCTGACACTTATGGTGTTTTCTCTTAGTGTACCAATGGCACCCCAACTTTTCATTGGGGGTATTTTGCATCACCTTCCCAGTCTTTTACTTTTGTAGGGAGTGATTTCTGTGTGCAGATTCAGGACCATTCCTTCTAGGATTTTCCAAGTGTAGATTATGATATATCTCTCTCGCCTGCATTCCAGCAAGTACAAGTCAAGTGCTTCCAAGCGTTCCCAGTAGTTGAGGTGTTTGATGGAACTTACATGTGCAGTAAAGGCTCTCTGTCCACTCTCTAGATCTGTAATTTCACATGCTTTGAACGGAGATGTTAATGTACAGCAGTATTCCAGCCTAGAGAGAACAAGTGATTTGAAAAGGATCATCATTGGCTTGCCATCTCTTGTTTTGAACATTCTCATTATCCATCCTATCATTTTCTTTGCAGTTGTGATCATGGCTCTGTTGTGATTCTTGACAGTGAGATCATCAGACATTACCTCTCCCTTTCTCCTCACATTATTTTTCCGCTCTATTGTATGATCAGAGATTGTAGTATACTGTGTTCTAGTTATTATCTCCTCCAGTTTTCCATAATGGAGTAGTTGGAATTTGTCCTCACTGAACATCATATTGTTTTCCATTGTCCATTGGAAAACTTGATTCATATCTTCTTGGAGGTTAACCGTGTCCTCAATAGATGACAGTCTCATGCAGATCCTAGCATTGTTTGCAAAGGGTGACATGGTGCTGTGGATTACATCTCTGTCTATGTTTGATATGAGGATGAGGAACAGGATGGGGGCGAGTACTGTGCCTTGTGGAACAGAGCTTTCCACTATGGCAGCTTCCGATTTAACTCTGTTGACCATTACTCTCACTACCTCAATTTCCAGACTATTCTACTTCCTGATAACTCTTTGGCTGAAGAAATACTTTCTAACATCCCTCTGACTCATCTGAGTCTTCAGCTTCAAATTGTGATCCCTTGTTGTTGTGTCCCATCTCTGGAACATCCTGTGTCTGTCCATCTTGTTGATTCCTCTTAGTATATGTCATTATCATGTACACCGTCCCTCCTGTCCTCCAGTCTCTTCAGGTCGAATTCTCTTTACCTCTCCTTGTAGGACATGCCCCTTAACTCTGCACTAGTCTCGCTGCAAACTTTTGCACTTTCTCTAGTTTCCTGATGGGTTTGGCCAGATAAAGGTTCCAAAGTGGAGCTGCATACTCCAGTATGGGCTTGACGTACACTGTGTACAGGGTCCGGAACAACTCCTTACTGAGATGTCAGAATGCTATTCTTAGGTTTGCTAGCCGCCCATATGCTGCAGCAGATATTTGGTTGGTGTGCGCCTCAGATGTGCTCGGTATTATACACACTCCAAGATCCTTTTCCTTAAGTGAGGTTTATAGTCTTTGGCCCCCTCGACTGTACTTTCTTTGGTCTTCTTTGCCCTTCCCCAATCTTCATAACTTTGCACTTGGTGGAGTTGAACTTTGTGTGTGTGTGTGTGTGTGTGTGTGTGTGTGTGTGTGTGTGTGTGTGTGTGTGTGTGTGTGTGTGTGTGTCTGTGTGTGTGTGTGTGTGTGTGTTCATGTTCATAGCTCCTGGCCCCACCTCTTTGTGTGTGTGCATGCATATATGAGTGTGTGTGTGTGTGTGTGTGTGTGTGTGTGCATGCCATATCAATACAATGGAACCTCTGGTCACAACCATAATTCATTCCAAAACTCTGGTTGTGACCTGATTTGGTACACAAATAACCTGCACATAAAAGAGAGAAGCTTACGACGACGTTTCGGTCCGACTTGGCCCATTTACAAAGTCACACTGTGTAAACAGTGTGACTGTAAATGGTCCAAGTCGGACCGAAACGTCGTCGTAAGCTTCTCTCTTTTATGTGCGGGTTATTTGTGTATCGTTCCAGTCACGTTATTGTGCCTTTTTTTGTTATTTACCTGATTTGGTCATGACCCTAACTTAATTTTTCTGTTGGATTGTATGTAAATACAATTAATCCGTTCTAGACCCCTACGAACTGTATGTAAATATTGTTTTTTTTTTAAGATTTTTAAGCACAAAAATAGAACTAGCAGCCTCTCTATGCCTTACCACACTATGAATGCGACATCTTACAAAACTTTTCAAACCATCCTCTGCCTTTAAGTACATCACTTTCTGCACTCATGGAAGGGTAATTCTGCCACAAATCACTGTGTATCTTCCTGACTTTCTCGCATATGATTGCCTCGCTTACACTATCACCTGCAAGTTGCTTCTCATTCAACCACACTGGCAACAGCTTCTCCCCCTCTTCCAGTACTTGAGGCCTCTGCCTGGTTAACATCGTAACTCCCTTAGCAACATAAGCTGCTTTAATAGCCGCTCTCTGCTTCAGAATGGTCAAGATCGTAGACTTCGGCTTTTTGAACTCTGCAGGAAGATCAGTAACACGCACACCACGTTCATACTTTTCAATAATTTTCCTTCTTTACTTCTATTTCAGTTTTCTTCAAACCCTTCTTTTTACCCTTATTACCACTCTTCACTTGCTTAGAGGCCATGGTTAATTGCAAATTGAATTAAAAAACACACAAAATACAATACAAGGAGTTTATAGCGAATGAACGCATGTCTGACCGAGACCGACTACAAGGCGAGGTGTACACAAACAACAGGAAGTGGGGAAAATTGGCACATGCGAAAAAAATGGTGTAGGTTGTGAAACTTTGTGTGACTGTGTTTGTTCGGTACCCAATTATGTGTTTGTGACCAGATGCAAAAATTTGGCGAATTTTATGGTCTTGAACTGATTAGTTCATGTTCAGAAGCGTTCTTGACCAGAAGTTCCACTGTATAATAAGTATAATTTGCAGTTCTGAGAATAAGGGTGTATTATTTTTAGCATCAATATAATATAGTTTTGAACTCTTTAAGATTTTGTTACGAAACATGAATGTGATTTGCAGTAATATTTTTTCACTTTTTTTTCAGTTTACATGTGAGTTACCGCAAGTGCCATGCAAAGCCAACGTAACTAATTTAACTTCACGACGTCCAGGACCACAAGAATTTGTTCGCAATTTATGGTGCCCACTGCCAGAATATATTCCACTTTCTTGTGTTGTTGGGTTTATGGCCACAGCAGTGTTTCTTCGACTGCCCGTGCTTGTCAAGACACTACTGCTTGTATCTATGGCAGTAGTGTATTCTTTATTGATCTTCATCACCCATCTGCCTCTTTTCACCTGTTATGATACACGTGTTGGGTAAACACCTTGTGTTTTGTTTTTTAATAGAAAAATAAGTCACAATTACTTGCAGTATCACTAATTTTGACCATTTTCAACTCTTTAACTTTAATTCTTTTACTGTCTTCTTTTGTGAAATTGAATCCTTATAATATCCTTATTTAACTTCATAGGGAAGTGGAGAAGAATCCTTCCTCTGTAAGCCATGCATGTCATAAGAGGCAACTAAAATGCTGGGAGTAACAGGCTAGTATTGTAGTGGTGTAGCTAGTATAATAGTAGTATAGCTAGTACAAGTATAGTAGTAGATTAGTAGAGAGCAACCACCCAGGGAAGTACGTACTACTGTCCTACCAAATAAGTGTGAGACAGAAACCTGTATTTGTTTTACATGATGGTAGGATTGTTGGTGTCTTTTTTTTTTGTCTCATAAACATGCAAGATTTCAGGTATGTTTTGTTACTTCTACTTACACTTAGGTCACACTACACATGCATGTACACATTTATGTATACACACTTGTCTGAATTTTCTTTGATTTTGTCTTAATAGTTCTTGTTCTTATTACTTTTCCTTTCATATCCATTACTTTTCCTTTCATATCCATGAGGAAGTGGAATAAGAATCTCTCCTCTGTAAACCATACATGTAAAAGTCAACTAAAATGCCATTAGCAATGGAGTAGTAACCCCTTTTCCCGGACAGCTTACTAAAAATAAGAAGAAAACCATCAAAATGGGATGTTTGAATGTGTGTGGATGTAGCACGAATGATAAGAAAGAAATGATTGTGCATGTTGTTAATGAAAAGAAGCTGGATGTCCTGCCTTAAAGTGAAACAAAGCTGAAGGGGGTAGGAGAATTTCAGTGGAGAGAAATAATGGGATTAGGTCCGAGGTTTCTAATAGAGTAAGAGCTAAAGAAGGAGTAGCAATAACATTGAAGGGTATTTGTGCATGGGGCTCAACAACAATTAACCATCTCAAACCATTAATTACCCAACAAAAGGCTGCAGTCAGAATGATAACAAATTCCCACTACAGGCAGCACACTCCACCAATATTCAAAACACTAAACCTACTCACCATATAAAACATCCATACTTATTACTGCACCTATTACTTACATAGAACACTTAACTCTGATATTAACCCTCCCCTCAAACATCTCCTTGCCAACCTCAACAGAACACATGACCATAACACAAGGCACAGATCACTCTTTGATGTTCCTCGTGTCCATCTCACGCTATGCAAAAACTCAATGCACATAAAAGGCCCTAAAATCTGGAATTCATTACCTGTAAATATAAAAGAAACACTACCTGTTTATAAATTCAAGTCTCTTCTCAAAGATCACTTACTCACCCAAAACCAAATAAGTACTGAATAACTGAACCTTATAAATTGTATATCTTAAATGTTTCTCACAATTATATCACATAAAAGTTAAACCTAAGACCCAATCTAACTTTGTTATTTTTTAAATACACTGCCTAACAGAATACTCCATTCTACTAAATGTACAGCAATGCATGCTAAGAGAGGAAAAAGTTAGGGTGAGATATAACCAACTATTGGCAGAAAGGTGGGCTAGTGCAAGTATAGGTAGTGGGGGCGAAGGGGGTTGAAGAGGGGTGGGATAGTTTTAAAAATGCAGTGTTAGAATGCTGGGCAGAAGTTTGTGGCTATAGGTGGGTAGGTGCAGGAGGACAGATGAGTGATTGGTGGTATGATAAGGTAAAAGGTGTGATAAAAGAGGAAAAGCTTGCTTATGAGAGGTTTTTACAAAGCAGAGGTGATGAAAGAAGGGTGAAATACATGGAGAGTAAAAGAAATGTGAAGAGAGTGATGAGAGAGTGCAAAAGGAGAGCAAATAATAGAGTGGGTGAGACACTGTTAACAAATTTTGCTGAGAATAAAAAAAAATTTTGGAGAGATAAAAAGGTTAAGAAAACCTAGGAAACGAATGGATTTGTCAGTTAAAAACAGAGTAGAGGAGCTACTAGATGGGGAGTTGGAGGTATTGGGTAGATGCTGAGAATATTTTGAGGAACGTTTGAATGTTGTTGAAGAAAGGGAGGCAGTAATTTCATGCACTGGCCAGGGAGGTATAACATCTTGGGTGGGGGGGTGCATAAGGCATTATATAGAATGAAAGGGGGTAAATTAGTTGGAACTGATGGGATCATTGCAGAAATCTTAAAAACAAGGGGGATATAATGTTGGAGTGGTTGATATTTTTGTTCAATAAATGTATAAAAGGAGGGAAGGTACCTAGGGATTGGCAGAGAGCGTATATAGTTCCTTTATATAAAAGGAAGGGGAACAAATAAAATTGTAAAAATTATAGGGGAATAAGGTTATTGAGTATATATACAGGTTGACCATCACTAATCCAACATCATCAGGACCTGTAAGGTGCTGGATTAGTGATTTTGCCAGATTGCAGAGTGGTTACGTCAGAATACACTTAACCCAATGGCAATATTTACTCATTGGCGATTTCACCCACTTTACACCCTATTTTTGGCCCATTCCATTGTTCCAGTCTACGAAACTTATAGCTATTTTGATAGTATTCCTTTTATTCTGTCGATTAAGTACAAGAAACCACCCATTTGCCTATTTCAGCTACCCAGTAAAGTGGTCAGAAATTGGTAATTTGGCAAATTTCAAACAAATTTTAAGAGATGCCAGTTTCAAAATAGGGTCCAGAATAAACCATGCAGACATTCCTAGCACTAAAATAATATTTTCTCCATTTGTTTATTTATTTATTTTTTTATTTATATATTTACTTATTATTAATTTGAACATGATACATAGAAGTACAAGGAAATACAGTGGTTAAGTGTAACATGCCAAAGCCTCTTGTATGCAGAGTATTATGGGCAGACTTAAAATTAACTTAAGATTAACTAAGCAATGATATATTCAGTGGTAAACATTATTGTAAACAAATAACAATTAAGCACAAATGAGTATTTCAAAGACAGGTCGTACTGTCATTTACTGTGTTGCTGAGCATTCAGTAGAATGGAGTATTCTCTTAGGAATTGTAATTAAAAATAAAGTTTGATTGGGTCACAGGGTTACCTGGAGAGAGTTCCGGGGGTCAACGCCCCCATTGCCCGGTCTGTGACCAGGCCTCCTGGTGGATCAGAGCCTGATCAACCAGGCTGTTACTGCTGGCTGCACGCAATCCAATGTATGAGCCACAGCCAGTCTGGTCAGGTACCGACTTTGGGTGCTTGTCAAGTGCCAGCTCGAAGACTGTCAGGGGTCTATTGGTAATCCCCTTATGTATACTGGGAGGCAGTTGAACAGTCTCGGGCCCCTGACACTTATTGTATTGTCTCTTAACGTGCTAGTGACACCCCTGCTTTTCATTGGGGGAGATGTTGCATCGTCTGCCAAGTCTTTTGCTTTCGTTGTGAGTGATTTTTGTGTGCAAGTTCGGTACTAGTCCCTCTAGGATTTTCCAGGTGTATATAATCATGTATCTCTCCCGCCTGCATTCCAGGGAATACAGGTTCAGGAACTTCAAGTGCTCCCAGTAATTGAGGTGTTTTATCTTCGTTATGCGTGCCGTGAAGGTTCTCTGTACATTTTCTAGGTCAGCAATTTCACCTGCCTTGAAAGGTGCTGTTAGTGTGCAGCAATATTCCAGCCTAGATAGAACAAGTGACCTGAAGAGTGTCATCATGGGCTTGGCATCCCTAGTTTTGAAGGTTCTCATTATCCATCCTGTCATTTTTCTAGCAGCTGCGATTGATACAATGTTATGGTCCTTGAAGGTGAGATCCTCTGACATGATCACTCCCAGGTCTTTGACGTTGGTTTTTCGCTCTATTTTGTGGCCGGAATTTGTTTTGTACCCTGATGAAGTTTTAATTTCCTCGTGTTTACCATATCTGAGTAAATACTTATGAGATACAATTTTTCAGTATTTATTTAGTTGAGGGTGAGTAAGAGATTTTTAAGAAGAGACTTGAATTTATAAACAGTGTTTCTTTTATATTCACAGGTAATGAATTCCAGATTTTTAGGCCTTTTATGTGCATTGAGTTTTTGCAAAGTGTGAGATGGACACGAGGAACATCAAAGAGTGATCTGTGCCTTGTGTTATGGTCATGTGTTCTGTTGAGGTTGGTAAGGAGACGTTTGAGGGGAGGGTTTATATCCGAGTTAAGTGTTCTATGTATGTAGTAAGTACAATAATAAGTATGGATGTTTTGTATTGTGAGTAGGTTTAGAGTTTTGAATATTGGTGGAGTGTGCTGCCTGTAGTGGGAATTTGTTATCACTCTGACTGCAGCCTTTTGTTGGGTAATTAACCCTTTGACTGTCGCAGGCCCCTTTCTGAAACTGTCATTCTATGTCGCTAAATATTCGAGAAAAAAAATTATTTTTTCTTATGAAAATGTTTAGATTATTTTTCCGAGTGTTTTAGTCCCCCCAAAATTTTTTTGCCATCAGTACTTACTGATATATAGAGGCGTGAAGTTTGCAGAAAATGAGCCGTGTATGGCAACAGCGGCGACTGCTGCTCACCCGGTAAACTTTGGTTTACTTGTAATTGAAGGTTTGTTGTTTTTTTCACTTTTATTTTTTCACATAACTTATGTGGCCTGTGAGACAAAAGTAAGGTGCAATGTACATATATACACTCGTTGTATACAACACAATAAGCACACGAACATAATTATCAATATTTTGTTGTTTTTTTCACTATTTTATTTTTTCACATAACTTATGTGGCCTGTGAGACCGAAGTAAGGTGCAATGTACATATATACACTCGTTGTATACAACACAATAAGCACACAAACATAATTATTAATATATTGTTTACAAAACTTGTTTACAAAAACAAACAATACAAAAAAATTGTTTTTTACTATTGTTCTATAATATATATACCAATGTACAGTCACCGAATATATTCCTAGAAGTTCTGCAGCTTGTGGAACTCTTTGAAACATGTTTTCATACACAATGGTGTTTTACACTTCTC